CACACCCTGAGGACCGACAACCTGAGCAAGGCCCCGTTCAGTCATCCACTGCACGATATGAGCATCTCCCATCCTCAAAGTAAAAATCAAGCCACCACAGCTTCATGTCTTTATATGAATCGTTTCTATGAATCGCAAAAGACGAAGGTGCCCCCCCCCCCAGGTTCAGGCGTCGGAGTCGTCGCTGCTGTCGCGGCTGATCTCGATCTGCAGCGACGGCAGGTTGTCCAGTCTGCTCTTCTTCATCTTGTGGGAGAGTCGCTCCTGTTTCTGTTTGATCATGGCGCCCCACACCTTCTGCAGCGCTGAGTCGTCTTCTTCCGTCTCCTCCTTGTCCTCCTTCCCTCCGTCGCCTCGGCTCACCTGACCACCATCGCCGCCCCGCCCAGACGACGAGGAGAACAGCCCCGGTGACCGACTGCTCGGTTTGTGGTCGTGACGTCCGGCTCCGCTGTCATCATCCGCGCATCCGAGTCTGCTCCACAGGCCACCTGATGAGAGGGGGTGGAGCCATGTTAATGATGTCATATCAGACAGAGAGACAGGCAGAGGGTGAGAGAGAGTCGTACTTGTCTTCCTGCCCTTGGATGAGTTGGAGAACAGGCTTCTGGTTTCTTGACTGGCCACGCCCAGTCTGCGGTGGATGTCTCTGGCTGATTCTCTGGTCGGGGGAGTGTCTCTGGGGGAGACGGGGGAGGGGGAGCGTTGTCTCTTGCCCAGTCTCTGTCGAACGTCTACAAACATGTTTTTATTAAAAAACGGTATTTTCTCTGAAACTCGAAAAATAACACAACAAATGTGTCTTACCTGTTTTTCCTCCGCTGGCCGCCGGAGGGGACTGTCCCTGTCTCTGTCCCTGTCTCTTCTTCTCCTCCAGCAGCTGTCGCACGTCCGTCACTTTAGGGGGCGATGGGGATTTGGTCCTGCTCTGAGATCCTGCCCCCCCGAGACGGTTTCTGCTCACAGGAAGAAGAAAACATACGTTTCATGAATCTGTCAAGAGGATGAAATGGACTTGACCTCCTTGTTTCTGTCTGAACCGTGTTCTGTAAAAACATCAGACTGTTGATGAGGCGAAACACATGAGAGTAAAATGGCGGCAGCTCTGACCGGATGCTCTTCAGGTGAGTGTCCAGCTCGTCCGCGTACATAGTCATCTTCTTGCTCTTCTTTGGCGACGGCGTGGAGATCATCTTCAGCTCCAGGTCGTAATCCATCTCGTCCGACTCCGACCAGGGAGATGGAGAGCGTTCCGTCCGGCTACGAAGCACCGCCCCTGGCGAGCGCAAGCCGGCGCTCCTTTCTCCTCGCTCTTTGTACTCCACCACCCTGTCATCTGAGTCCATGTCCTCGTCACCACCGTAGTCCTCGTCTTCTTCCTCGTCCTCTTCTTCTTCTTTGATTGGCTCCTCTGGCAGGTTGACCAGGTCAGCTGAGGGGGGTGGAGTTAATCCAGATGAATAATCAGATTAATGATCCTGAATCACAGTTCTGATTGTTTCTGTAATCCTGAAGTTAGCTTCACTCTGGTTCAATGAAAAGTCAACTGAATTTTAACTTTTATTTTTAAATGATTACAGAAAATAAACTTTGACAAACATTTATCATCTTCAGTGTTATGGTATGAAAACATTTAGAGCCTCCACCAAAGAGGTGCGGTCTTCACTCCTCTATAGATCTATATCAGCTGAGCTCTTCAAAGTCACCACTGAGCGTTCAACATGTTTTTACCGACGTATTTAACATTAAGACGTGAAATGTCTCCAGTTATTTCAGACTTTGAACCAAAAACGGGGAAACAGGTGAAATGATTTATTTCTACACTGATCAGACATGAGAACATGGAACTGTGTTTCTGAACTCAAAGTTTACCTGAGTGTCGGTGCGTGTACGGCGGCGTGTGTCCCATGCTGTCTCCGATCAGAGGCTTTTTGCTCTTGATGACGTCTCGCTGGATTCGCCGGTTGTGAAACCTCCGCTTCCTGAAACACAGACGAGGCTCATGATGCTTCGTCGACAGACGAACAACAAAAGAAAAACCTCGGAAGACTTCTTCTGAAAACGCATTGAGTTCAGCTTGATGAGCTGTTCTTAATATTCTGAGTCTCACCAGGAGTTGCTCAGGATTCCCCTCATGCCTCCGTAGTTTGGGTTTCCGTACTTCATGTAGTACCTGCTGCGGCGAGCGGCGCCCAGCTCCTTCTTATCTTCTACAGACAAAAAACATATTTACAGTCACAGCTTTATTGGTTTGTCATCTGAATATTTTTCATCTTTGTTTAGTATTTTCAGATGATCAGTGTGTGTGTGTGTGTGTGTGTGTGTGTGTGTGTGTGTGTGTGTGTGTGTGTGTGTGTGTGTGTGTGAGAGAGAGTTAGTGACCTTGTGTGGCGAAGCGCAGGAGGAGTTTGTTTCCTTTAAACGGTTTGATCGCCGGCCGCAGGTCATTTCTCAGCAGAGACTCTCGCTCTGGTCCTGATAGGTCGTCCATCTGCAACACACACACAATCATGTTGTGGAGTTTTTGGAAGCGTTCAATACATGTGATCAGTTTCTGTGAGACTCTACCTGATCCCCCTCCGTCTTTGTCTTCTGCTCCACCTCTCTGTCGCTGTCTTTCCCCTCGATGTCCTCGCCGCTCTTCTTCACCGTCTCATCCTCATCCACCTCACCCTCCTCCTCTTCATCTGACCCCTGACCCTGGTGACCTGTGACGCGTACAACACAAGTCAGCTGCTTCTCTTTAAATCACCGGCTGTGCGCGTTGAGTTTTCGTTCACACACTGACCTTCGCTCTGCTCACCCGGCTCTTTGGTGCCCTCTGTCTCCGTGGTAACAGCCTCTGGGTCCGGCATCCGGCTGGTGTTAATGAGGGCTCTAATGGGTGTGTTGTCGTCCAGCCAAACCACGTTACCTAGGAAACAGTGAGGCGGCGTTCAGAGACATTAGAGCTGTGATCCGCCTGTTGGACATCCTGGTGATCGGGACGCCGTCAGACTGACCGCCTGCGTCAGGTTGACCGGATGTGTGTGTGTGTCGTACTCACAGGAAGTGTCATCGATCCACTCGATGTGTGCCGGAGGATATTCTTTAAAATATCCGAAGACGTCCTGCGTGCTCATGTCGTCCACGCCCGTCACATAGATCGCCTCCATGCGCAGTCTGGGGATGGCTGAGCACCACAGAAGAAGACAACGACAGGGTCAGCAAACACACAACTGGGTCTGACTGTTGGAAACAATCAGTGGGTTTACATCCATTCATGTTCGGGGTCAGGTCAGGTGACCTCTTACCTTTCTTCATGATGTCTTTGTCGAGAAAGACGTTCCTCTGTCTGTCGCTCTCCTCACTATGGAAATGGAAACGTCTCGCTCGCTTCTCTTTCCTCTCAATCGCCTCCTGATTTAAAAAACATCCAGAGGTTCAGCTCCTCCACGGTGTCAGAGTGAGTGAGTGAGTGAGTGAGTGTGTGAGTGAGTGTGTGTGTGGGTGAGTGAGTGAGTGAGTGTGTGAGTGTGTG